GGAGAACTCGAGGCAGGGCCTCCGGTTGGATGGGGGGCTGGATGGGGCTCGGCCTCGAGTGATGAGGCGGGACCTAGGGCGCGGCTCGGAGTCCAACAACCCACCTACTCCCCACCCGCAGGAGCCCTGAGTTACTTAAACCATGCGGGCATGTGGAGCGAAAGGACCATCTCCTTGGAGTGGCAGGTGAGCTTTCGCAGGTGGACCTTGCAGCAGAGCTCCCTGAGAGGCTCGTTCAAACAGCGGTCAGATGCAGATGCCAGCCACACCGTGGACCGTCCCAACGCACTCATCCCTAACGGGACACACCTGGTCAAGCCTCTCTAAGCAATTGTTTCTCAGGACACTGACTGGTAATGGCGGCCGGGTGAGGTCCTCCTCCCTTATCGTGGCTTTGCGCCTAAGATTAGACCTTCCTAGAGGCCCCATTCCCTAACAGGCCACACCCTCCAAGGAGAGGGGACAAAGTCCCGCCCCTCAAGCTAGGACCCACCCTCTGAGGCTGTTCCCTCCTCCTGAGTCTTTACCCCGTTCCCACCCCCGAAGTCCGACACCACCTCCTCTCCGTTCTTTGCGCAGCCCTCCTAGTGTGGCTTTTGGGTGTGGCCCTCCTCCCAAGCCTGGTGTGGCCCCGCCCCCGGGTTGCCAACCTTCGCAGGCCACGCCCCGAAGCCCCACTTCGTCATTGGAACTGTCCGGCCCATAGATGTCGAGTCTTGCCCCAGGGTGACACGACCTTGCCCAGCTTTTGATGTAGCCCCTCCCCAGGAAGGCGTGGCTTGCAATAGCTTTCTGCCCCTTTCTGGCTTCCCAGCCACAGTAAAAAGTGGGCGCCACCCAGCCTCTCAGAGTCCGACCCTCCATTGCGTTCTCTCTTCCAGGGCAGGGTCTGGCCCAGCGTGTGCGAACCCGTCTGGAGTCCCTGCCTCCTTTCTCTACTTGTTTGTCTACACCTGTCCTGCCCCTTCCTCTCCCCCTGCACATTACTGCATGCCTGGGAGGCTCCAGCCTGGGCTGGGTCAGTCCGGGGCTTCCAGGTGCTTCGTGTCTAGAAGGCCAGATGACACCCGAATTTGATGCGAATTTGATGCATATTTGGTTTTACTGGGGGTCAGGGACAGGGTGGGGACATTCAGGGGTTGGCTGCCATAGTCTCCTCGATCCAGTCCAGCAAGGGCAGAAGTTTGGTGTAGACGCTGGGCATATTGGGTCGGCCACACGGGGAGTGTCCCCAGGATGTGATTCCTTGAAACACACCATCACAGATCAGCGGGCCCCCTGAGTCGCCCTACAGCACAAGGGGAGAGAGGGAGGTTAGTGAGTCCCGGGCTCTGCCTACAGAATCCCAGCTTTTAGACCTGGGCTCACAGCTATGGGGAAAGACACAATTGTCTCCAGAGTCCACTCCTAGAAGGTGGGCTTCCAACAGAGGGGACAGTGGCTTGAGTCCTAACCAGTGGGGGTAGGACGTTAGGGTTCAAGTTCTGTGCATGGGGTCAGGGTCCAGGAAGAAGGTCCCCACAGTTCAAGCAGGGAGGAGGAGCGGAATCCATCTGTGGGACCCTCCCACCATCGGGACTCATCACAGATGTCACCTTTCCCAAGTACCTTTCTTGCACTGGACAGTCAGTATGTGTCAGGAGTAACAGGTGAACCGGTGATGTGGAGGAGGTGGATAGGGGGGGTGTAGGAAAGAAAAGGGACAGAGGGAGGGAGCTGAGGCACGGGGTGGGGGGAGGGGGGGAGTGGAGACAGACTGACTCACCACACAGGTGTCCTTGCCACCCTGCAATTGTCCAGCACACAGCATGACGTCTGTCACCTTCTGGGGGTGGGCTTCAGCACACACATTGTTGGGCAGAAGCTTGAGGTCCACACACTGGAGCTCATCTGGGTACTCAACTACAACTACAGGCCAGGGAGAAACATGGCTGTGGTCCACCCCACCTGGCTCCTCAGCCCTTTTCCCTCAGCGCCTGGAGTCCAGGTCCCCATCTCCCTCCTCCCCACACCCCGGTGTCTGGGCTCCAGCCTGCATGGTCTGGCCCCGCCATACCTGGATCTAGTTCCATGTTGCCCCAGCCAGAGGCGTAGCAGGTGCTCCCCAGTTGGGGTTCCTGAGTGGGCAGGTCCAGGACCTTCACAGTGTCTGTTATCTGGGCAGGCTGTGCCAGGTGGAGCAGCATGAGGTCGTAGCTATAGTCGTCTTCTGGATTGGTGGTGTGGTTCTTCAGGAGGCTCAGGTCGAACTGAGGGTGTGGGAAGCTCTTAGTGACCTGGACAAACTGTGCTGTGTCTTCATTCTCAAACAGGCTGTGGCGACCCAGCCAGAGCTGGTAATTACTGGGGAGAGAGAAGGACCAAGGGAATGAGGAGAGAGGAGGAGAAAAGGGAGAAAAGGGGCAGGGCAGCGTGGGGGCAGGTCCCAAAGGAGAGAAAGAGAAACAAAGAAAAAAGCTGAGCACGTGAAAGGTTTGGAATCATGGAGAAACAGAGACGGAGAAAGCCAAAGAATGTGACAGTGGGAAAGGCAGATCCAGAGACAAAGAGAAAGGGAGTGAAAAACAGAGAGCTTAAAAAACTACAGGAAATGGGAAAGGCAGAGGGGAGAACGGAGAGATAGAGGGAGCAGAAAGGAGGCAGGATGAGGAAGAGAAAAGACAGAGACAGTGAGAAACAGACAAATGGAAGAAGCAGGAATGAAAGAACAGAACAAGGGAGGAGAGTGAGAAACAGACAACGTGGGAAAGGGATGGGGGAAGTAAAGGGAGAGAATAAGAAACAGGCAGAGGAGGCTAGAAGGTGACAGAGTGAGAGAGAAAAGGGAGGGAGGACAGGAGGGGGTGGGACAGGTGGGGAGGAGGGGCCTGGGACCAGCTCAGCTGCAGCTGGGGCTGTGGGGCTGGTTCCCCAGCAGGCGGGTGGCCTGGCCCCCAGCCCAAGGTCAGAGTCCCCGTTCCCTCCCCAGCACACTTCGCTCCCTTTTCTCCTCACTTCTCTGTCCTCCCTCGATTGCCCCCACCCAGCTTTAACTGAAACCAGCCCTTTCTTGTGTCCCCCTGGAGTGGGCGATTGTCCCGGGCAGTGTGAGAAGCCCCTCCCCCACAAATGTTGGGGATAACCCCTTCCTTTTTTGGGGGGCCCCTCTCAGTCCCATCCTGGGATGAGGGTGCTCAGTAGCAATGGGGAGAAGGAGTGAGGCAGAGAACCAGAGAGAGAGAGAGGGGCCAGAGAGATGGAAGGTGAGACATACAGCGACAGAGATGGCAGCAGAGAGACACAGAGACAGAAAGAGACACAGAGATATGGAGACAGAAGAGAGAGGGAGAGACAAATCACAGTCATACAGAGGCAGACAACAGAGCCAGTTACCTAGAGACAGACAGGACAGAGGGAGACATAGGACAGAGAGACAGTTACACGGGGAGAGACAGAGAGATGCCCAGGCAGTCATGGGAGGGGCTTCCCTGGGGTCGCCCAGTCCCAGCTCCGCCTCTCCCCTTGTGACCCTGGACCACATCCTGCCCTCTCTGCCTTAGGTCCCCCATCTTCCCCAGAGGTTGTCTGAGGGAACAGTGCTGGCTGCCCAGTCCTGTGGGGGCACAGACACCCCCTCCCGACACCTCCTACCCTTACTCGCTTATGCAGTGGGCAGCCGTGAGCACCCACTGGGGGTGCACGAGGACGCCTCCACACTGGAATCTGCTGTAGTGGTACAAGGCCGCCTGCCAGGGTTCTGAATGCTTCTCACACTCCCAGCCTCCCACAATCCGGGACTGGATGGGGAGCGCAGCACCTGTGGAGGGGGTGCTGAGTCAGGGTGGGTGGAAGTGGCAATGGGGCGGGGCGGGAGGGGGGCGCTGGGCTGTGGACATGGAGGGACATGGGGGCAAAGGATCAGGGCTGGGGGACTGGGAAGATGGGCAAGGGGTGTTGGGAAGGGCCCAGAATTCTCCAGCAGTCCCAGGGTGTGGGCTGGTGGCTGTTCTGGGTGGGGAAATGTTATGCTGAGCAGAGCCAACCCCAGGGATCAGGGTAGGAGACAACAAGGCAGTATCTGGATCAGGCATTGGGCAAAGAGGTTGGGATTTCGGGAGCGATTTGGGGACTAGGACTGGGGGACAGGAAGCTCTGGGTTCTGAGAGGGGAAAGCAAGGATAAAGGCCCCAAAACTCAGAGGCTGGGGAGGAAGGCTTTGGAGAGTTAAGGGACTTCTAGGCTGATGAAATGGTTAGGGTCTGCTTGGACTTTTAGGGTTTTAGAAAGGATATGGATTCAGGGAATCAGGTCTGAGAGGCCAAGAAGAGCACTTGGGGAATTTGGGGTGATTTGGGGGTCCCTGATCGGGACTGGGAGGGTTGAGAGAATTTGGAGTTCCAGGCCAAAGAGTGAAAGAAAAAGTTAGGCTGGGAGAGGGACCCTGCAGGGTTTGGGGTCCTGTGAACCAGGGATGGCATTCTAAGAGGGGTGGGGCTCCGGGACAGGCTTGGAGTCAGGAGGCGCTCAGGAAGGGGAAGAGCCTGGTGATAACCATTCTGGGATCAGGTGATTCTATGGGGATGGGGTCACAGTCTGAGGGTACTGAGGGATCTGGGGTCCCTTGGGAGTGATGCTGGGACAGGAACGGAGGAGACATATCAGGGGCTAAGCAGCTGTGAGAACGTAGTGAGGACAGGACCCATGTGATGTGCGGTTCTTGAGTCCCATGTTGGGGTAGTTGGGGGAGGTAAGGCAAGACAGCTGGGCTGGGACGGTGTTTGGGATCCTGGGAGGGGGTTGTCCCAGAAAACCAGAGCTGTCCAGTAGGGTTGAAGGTGGAGAAGGGCTGAAACTCGAGGAAGGATGGAAATTCTGCAAGGAAAGGAGCATGTGGTTGGGGGTTCTGGGAGTTCTTGCTGGGGGAGCAGTCTGGAGGTGCTGGATGGGTGCAAAGAGTCAGGGAAGGAACAACTCCCATACCAAGATGGGGGACCCATCTGGTCATGGACCAGAAAGTCTGGGAAGAAGCGGAGGTGTCTAATGGAATTTGGGGGTCCTGGGAGGATTGGGAGGGATCCAATGCAAGGGACTGGGAGACCTAGTTGAGAGCTGACAGCTGGATGGGCAAAGTCTCCAGGGTGTGGTAGGTTTTGGGGGCCCAGGAGCCAGACCACTGGGCTATAGAGAACTAGGGGCTAGGAGGTGTGATTAAGGCTCTAGGGTCTGGTGTCTGGTGGGGTTGGGGGCTCTTGGGAAGAATTGGAGTCCCCCAGGGAGACAGGAAGAGTTGGCCCAGGACTCCCTTTGTAAAGAGACTTGCGGCAGTGGTCTGAGACGGGAAAACTAGAAAGTTCTGGGGGTTCCAGGGAGGGAGCAGAGACCTCGTATGGGAGTGAGGACTGTGGGGAAGGTGACTATGAGGAGGGGCTAGGGTGGGATTTGGGGATGGAGGTGGGGGAGATGGGAAAGACCCTGGGATCCTGGTCTGGGGTGGGCTATGGGTTGGAGGGTGCAGGCTGGGCTGCTGGGTGGGAGGGGAAGGATTTATTATATTGGGGGGATGAGGGCAGCATGAGAGTCAGGGCCCGCTCCCCTCCCACCTCTTCCCGATGGCTTACCAGTCCCTGCCAGGGACAGGGCAAGGCACAGGACCAGGAACCACATGGTGACAAAGGTGTCCAAGGGTAGGCAGGTGGTGAGCTAGGAGCTGGGAGCCTCCCTGAGGAGCCTTTAAAAGGCCTCATCCCCCCAGGGCCCCGCCCCTGCCCTGCTGGCACCCAGATTCTGGCCAAGGCCCTGCCCCTGGGGCCTGGGGGGGCTGGCCACCTCCTCCCATCCCCAGAGCTGTGGAAGGGATGGGAGAGCAAGCACCTGTTGTTCTGTAGGCCGACTGTGCTGGAAGCGTTCCTGGGGCTGAGGCCAGCCAGAGCAGGACCTGGAGCTCTTGGGGCCTTGCTCTTGGGGACAGAGCCAGTGAGGGGAGTCAGGGGAGTCAGTGGGAACAGAAACAGGAGGGTGGAGGAATCAGTAACCCTCCCAATACAAAGCCCCATATACCTGAATCCCATGTAAGGCCACATACCCCGAGACCCAGTGTACCCTGAAATACCAACAGTGAGGCTCTGACTCCCGTCTCCCTGCACTGCTCTGAGCCAAGATGCTGGCTTCTCAGCTTCCAGCTCTCCCTGAAATACAAGCTTTGGCTTTCAGAATGCCCTGAGTCTTGAACTCCAAGACTCAGTATCTAGGCCCCCAAATCTATTGTTCCTCTCATAAGAAAATCTTAGGGTACCCATCACAGTCCTAGCACCCCCAGGTCCAGGAATATGAAGTTTCAGTGGTTTCCCTGAATAAGTTCCCTAGCATTTCAAAATCCAATGTCCCCTGTTGGGAGCCATGCAGGATGGCTGTACTGAAGCATAACTTGTTTTGCTTCTTGTTTTGCTTCTTTCTGCACCTGGAGGGCGCTTATTCAACCTCGAGGTATGTGGTGAGAATGGCCAGTGCCTTGGGAGACACATTAAGATAGATGGCTATCTGGGATAATGGAAGAAATTGTCCCCACTGACCTTTAAGTTTCTATTAGATAATCAATGAGTTACTTTGGAATGAGGTAATGCATATTTGTCCCTTCTGTTTTGCACGTACCCTGGATGTATAGAATGGTGATGGAAAATAAACTCGGGGCTTCAGTATTCACTGAAGTCCTCCCGGTAACTCTCTCTTCTGTCTCTTTTCTTAATCCTCGCGCCCCCCCCCTCAGGACTGTTCAACATATCGGCTGGTTCTGATAGTCCCCCCCAAGCAATGTTGGGATCCCGTTATCCCTTCCCCCCACTCCTTGTTCTCCAGGTCTGGATACTCAAGGTTATGTCCTCCAAAGTCCCAGGAATCCTGCCAAGGTCAAGAGCATCCTTTCCATAAATTCCAATCTCCCCTCTCCCAATGGAATATTTAGGTCTCTGGTGTCAGGTTCATGTATGTTAACATTCAGTAACCTCGAAAATCATACTTTTTGGATCTCTGAAGAGAATCAGGAACTAGACTCCTGCAGCCTCCGTGGTAAACCCCTAGGCTTCTGACACGTTCCCTTGGCTCATCAGTAAAACCAAAGAAGCTCACAGGGTCCCATCCTCCGCTGTGTGTCAGGAACCTGCCTAAGGAAGGGAGAGTATTTGCCTTTTTGCCATGGCTACCAGGAAGCCCAGAACTAAATCTCGAAGAAAATGAAGTCATTCTTGATTATGTGTTCTTTCACTGGGGTCCAGAGATATATAGTATTTTTCCAGTGCCGGGCCCTTTTAAATAAACTCATATGAATTTCCTCAGTTGATCCTCACAGCCCTATGAGGTCATCCCTGTTTTACAGATGGGGAAACTGAGGCTGAGTGATATTGCTCTTTTGCTTGATCACACAGCTGATCCTATGTGTGTTGAGTAAACAGGGCCCCGCTGGAAGCCATTTCTCCTCATCTAGGGATCAGGGCAACGGGCGAAAAGGAGCAGTGTACAGTGGATCTGGGTTCCCCACCCAGTCCCTGGTTCCCGTTCTCCTTCATCCCAGAAGAAAGTTACAGAAACTTTTACAAAGAAACTTGCATCAGTGCTCTCTGTTATCTTGGTGTTAAACAGGTGACCTTGAGCGCCAGCTCTGGCCTCAGACGGGATACGTCCTTGGCTAACATCTGGGCCTTGGACAAATGCTGTCTTGAGGGATGGCTCACTTCTGTCCCAGGTTAGAATGGAGCAGCCGCGGAAGCTTCTGCTCAGTCAGAGACACAGGTGGTAGGCCAAAAGAGTCAGTTCCTCTTCATGGTGTCCCTGATCCACTCCAAGTAGCTGCAGACTTTGGTGTAGACACCAGGCTTGGTAGTAGTGTCACAGGGGACGTCACCCCAGGACACAATGCCCTGCAGGATGCCCCCACAGACCAGAGGTCCCCCGGAGTCACCCTGTGGGGAGAAGGGGAAGCTTGAGTGAGAACCTTCTGATCCAGTGTCCCCACCCCCCTCTTAATCACCATCATAAACTCAATTAGAGTCCAACCCACCCCAACTCAACTTATCACAACCCAGTTTAACTCAAACCAATCCAGCCCAACCGCTAACCAACACAACCAAATACAACTCAGCCAGCCCATGTCCAAGCCCACCCCATGCAACCCTAACCCAACCCAGCCCCTACAACTTCCTCATTCAAAATTAAACCAGGCCCATACTCAGCCTCACTTCCAACCCAGCCCTACCCTCAATTCTCATGTCTTTTGCATCCCAAGCAAAATTTACCCCATCCTCAATTCAACCCAGATATATTTTCCATCTAAAATCAAACCGAACCCATTCCCATTCTCAACTTCAGCCCATGCCATCTCAAACCAACCACCACATTGCCCACCTCAAACCCAACCCAACCCCACCACCGTCTCTAACTCCAACCTCACCTCCATTTTAACTGCTCTTCCATTTCCATCCCCAGACCTACGCCTGGCATCTTCTGTGGCCCAAAGCAAGAAAAACCCGGCCCCATCCCAACTCCCAAACCTGTCTCTCTCCCGCTCCCCTCCCGGCATGGTCCCCTTTCGGCTCTGACCTCACAGGAGTCCGTGCCTCCGCCTTCCACACCTGCACACACCATGGTATTCATCAGGTGCCCTGGGTAGTACTTCTTACAAGATGAGGCGGAGATAATGCTGATGTTGGCACAATGCAATGTATCTGGGAGATACACTGGGGAGGACAGTGGACTTGGAGTGAATCCAGAAATTTTCAGGTCCTTGTACCCTCTGCCCAAGAGCCCTGGAGCAAAGGGTCCCTAGATGTCTGACATCCGGTTCCAGTCCTTCACTCACCTTGTGACACTGGTCTTCCTGTTGTCTCAGGCTCACCGTTAGACACCAGGCCCCAGCCAGACACCACACAGACCTCACCGGGTTGGGGGCAACGCATGGGCAGCGCCACCGGGCGCACTTGTGGGGAGAGGCGCGCGGGCCGGGTTAGACGCACCAACATGACGTCGTGGCGATGGCTGCGCCCTTCATAGCGCGGATGTGGGATGACTCGAGAAACAGTCCTCAGTTGCTCTGAGCCATCGCGTTTGCGCAGATTGTGCTCGCCCAGGCGCACTCTCATGTTACTGTACCGGCGAGTGATTACCCGCAAGCGTGGGGGAGGAGTAAACAGAAAAATCAAAGAGCGGGCAACCTGGGGTCCCTTGACCCTTTGGGAACCTGGGTCTCCCACAACCCTCTCCCCAAGGCCCTTTAGACAATAGTTCCAGCCTCTGCCCCTCGGAGACCCAAGTGTCCATAGTCATGCACACACCTGGAACTCAACCCGTAAGCTCCAGCTCTTTCTTCCTCATAATCCACGATTCTTAGATCCCAAAACCCTCCCGCCATGCCCCCTCAGGACCCTGAGCCCTGCCTTTATACCGGGTTTGGCAGTGGGCTGCAGACAGCACCCAGTGTGGAGCGATGAGGGAAGCACCGCAGTTAAAGCGTCCGCGTTCGAAGAGGGCCACTTGCCATGGCTGGGAGTGGGGCACACACTCCTCCCCTTCCAGCATCTCGCCATTGTCGTCCTGGGCCGCTGGGAGAGGGGATGGAGGGGAATCTCTGAGGACAGAGCATTTTTCCTTACATCCTACACCTTCCCTGTACCCTGCCCTCACTACACATTTTTCACCTCTGCCTTCCCCTAACTTCTTAAGATGTGCCTGCTGTTGATTTTTAAGCACTGCCTTCTCTCTAGGTTTTACAATTGCTGCTTGTTTTCTCCAGAACTGTCCCGTTGCCCCTGCCCACCGCCCATTTGCTACAAGACTCTGGGAGAGAGAAGATGGGGAAAGGACCAGAGGTGAAGAAGTCCTCTGTGTTGGGAGTGGAGACAAGGACAATGGATATAGTCCAGACAGATGGTCTCTTGGAACCAGCCATTCAAGGTCACGGAGCTGTCACAAACATCAAATGGATGTGGCCACTCAATAATATGTATGACACACAGTCTTGGCTTGAGAGTCTGGACATCTCAGCCAAATGCAGTGTCACACGAGGACATGGACGTGACCACACAATGTCATGGGCAAGTATACAGGCACAACCGGTCTTCCAAATTGAGGAGCTGATATGGACAGCCCTTTAAGGTGAAACTCACCTGCACATACATAGGTTACAGCTCCAAGAATCACAGCACAGGGATTCATATGTGTGTAGGAATATGGACAGTTAGGACATGGGTGTATACACACACACACATACCCACATACACAGATTTGGACATAGAAGCTCAGACCTAAATTTACAGCCTCCAGTGTGGAACTGCACATACCAGGTCACAGACGGGCACAGTTGCAAATGGGGTCTGGCCATACAATGTAGGGTCCTTAATAAGAGTACATGGAGAGAGACACTGACATGCACTCAGGCCCCCCAAAACTTGTTTACAGACATGGGTCTATAATATTGGGGTTAAATCTAGGGTGAAACCCCCCTGGGTCCAAATATTATCTATGAGATTTTGAGCAAACTATTTGACCTCTCTATGCCTCTGTTTCCTCATCTGTAAAATGGGATTGTTGTAAGGATTAAATAGGAGAGAGTGTGAGTGTGTATGTGTGTGTGTGTGTGTGTGTGTGTGTGTGTGTGTGTGTGTGTATGATGCCATTGTAACTGCTTAATAAATATTAGTTATTTTAAACAAAGGACACACAGATTTATTTATTCAGACATATATGTGGATTTTCAGGTTGTGGACACAAATTTAGCCAAAGTAAGTCAGATGTATGACCAGACCCAGACAAAAATAGTCAAGGTCGAAACTGTGATTCATCCCCAAGCCACTTTATGGAGATTCAAAGTTATAGACACTGACCCAGAAGGACAACATTCAGATGTGGACACACTAGATCAGACCCCAGGGCAACATCTGGACACAGGTCTGGGTATTCAAGGTCAAGGACATAGCTGGAGACACAGCAGCCAGGACAGGACATATTTATCCGTCTCTAGATCCATCTCCGCCCACAAGTCAGTCATTTGGTGTTCAAGGTCACTCATCGGGTTTAACATATGGGGACCCGGCTCACACATGTGGGCAGGATGTGGACACACAGGGCCTTGCACTCCCCTCCCGCCACACACGGGGAACTGCATCATACACAGGACCTCAGCAGGGATGTTGTCAAGGTCACAGGACCATGACCCCCTACACTGGACAACGTGGATATGTCCCAAGGTCGCAGCCAGGCACACAGACACCCAGACCCGGGCAGGATTTGTACAGCCAAGACCAAATGCCCATACTCTGTTTGCTAGGGTCAGGAACTGGGCCAAGGGCCCTGGCAAGGCTGAAGGAACGCGGATGTGTGGACAAGGGGCTTAATAAGGGAAGGGTGAGGTTGTCCTTCAGAGAAGGGCAGAGGGTGCAGGCTGAGCAGCTGGGCACCAAGGCCGCACCTGGCCAGTCCAAGCCAGAGAAGGGTGGAAGCTCAAGCTGGGTGCAGCAGGCAGGCGGGAGGTAGGGAGGGGAGAGCAGGGACAGAGCCCAAGGGGAGGCTGGCAGCAGGTTGGAGGGGCCCCCAGGGGCAAGAGGGTCATGTGTGTGGGGGTTAAGGAAAGGCCACCCTTAACTCCCCCAGGGTAGAGGCATCAGGTTACAATTAATTCCTCCATGAGTGGTGGCTGAATGTGGACTGGAGTTCTCCTGCCACCTGGGGTCACCTTGGCCTAGTGGCTGCCCCTCTGTGAGCCACAGCCCGCTTCCCTGTCAAAGGAGGCCAGTAGCCCACCGCATAGACATATTTCCTTGACTAGATGAACATCCCTAGCTCTGAGCACCGGGTTTGGCATATCCTGAGCTCTCAGTGCAGCTAGCACACCCTCACATGGCACTGCCCTGGGCCCGGCACCTTTTAGTGCCTCACACGTTTGTTGTTATCTCCATGGGACAGTTGGGGAACCCAGCAGAGACGTTAAGCAACTAGAAAATGGCAGGGCCCAGGGAGATGAAGTACTTTCCTCAAGATCACAGAGCAAGGAAGGGACAGCCCCAGAACTCAAACTCAGGTCTGCTCCACCCCAAGGCTGTGTCTGTTGTCACGGGCAGTGAGGGGCCCCAGGGGCCACGGGGACTCCACAGCAGCCCCAGGCCCCCGATGCTCTTGGGGTAGAACGAGGACTCAAGGATGTCAGCATGGGGCTGAGGTAGGGCCAAGAAAGGGGTCATCAGGTGGTCTTTGCCTAGGGGAGGGGCTGGCAGATTGCAGGGACTGGATATACTTGGGGATGGGGGTGGTCTAGGGGACAACCCACTCCCACAGACCCTTACCTGACCTGGGCCCACCTCACCTGCAGATGTGAGCAGGAAGGAGATAAGGAGAAGCCACATTGTGGAAGAGGGACCAGGGCTCTGCTGAAATCTAGGGAGGGGAGAGAGTGTACTGAGGTGAAGCTGGACCCCCCAGCTCCCACCGGAACCCTCCAGACGCAAACTCATTCTATCTGCTGCTTAAGAAACTTCTTTTCACCATTCTTGTCCCAAACTCCCACCCCCAACCTGCTCTTCCTCCCTGGTTCCCCAACTCTGAAGGATCTGCCTTTCTTCCAGGCACTGGGACAGATGCCCAGGTAGCCCCACAGCCAGTCAGATTCCAGCACCATTCCACATGCCCCTGGGTTTCTCTCCATCCCCAAGGCCCTGGCTCAGAATACGTTCACTCCCTAGGCCCTATCCCAGTCTTGGCTCCTGCCTCTTGAGACCCCACTCCATCCCAGTCTGTCCCTCCATTCAAGTTCTCACCCTGTCCCTCTACATGACCCCACAGGGTTCATGTCCTATTCTTGCCCACAGCCCTCACGAATCCCCAGTACCCCTAGGAAAAAGTTCCAGGCCCCTAGCCTCACTTTTGAGGACATGAGTGGCTTCTCCCCTCCCAGGTTTCTCATGACCTTGCCCTTCTAAACATAGCTGATTCTTCCACTTTCCTTCCTGCAATTTCATGCCTGCACGCCTTTGCTTGGGCCATTCCTTCTTCGAGCTGTGCCGTTCCCTTCAAGGTCCACTGCCTCCTTGAGACCTTTTCTGACCTCTCCCAGTCAGTGGTGTCTGTCTCCACCAGCAAGCTTCCAAATTCACCTTCCAAATTCCTCTTTTCCCTCTGAGGCTCAGCCCCCACCTTCTCTGGGGTGCCCTGATACCTAACAGGTATCTCTGCTGGGTCCCACAGTGCCTGTTCTGCCTCCATCAAAGCACAGATCCCCAGGAACGCTCAGATCGGGTTCTCCCTGTGTCCCCAGCAGCCTGGGGTCTGGCACATGGGATGCCTCAGGGAGTTGTGCTGAGCTGACCTGAACCGGTGGTAACTCCTGATTCTGTTCTTGGCGCTAGTACAAGCGCTTTCAGGGCCATCTCCCTGATTCTCTCCATCCCCTCCCCCTACCCCAATGCAGCTCCTTCTTGTATCTCCAGGACCTTTTCTTGGTTCAAGTTCAACTTGAGGCTCCAGCAAAGGACACATGGACCTATCCAAATGCCCTGACACTTAACTCCTTCAGGTGATCCATGTCCCCCCGCCCTCCCAGGGCAGACCATGTGTCCCCTCACACCGCCCCCACTCCTGTCCCCAAAATCTCACCCCCTCCAGGTCCTCCAGCAGCATTTGGGGCAGCTTGGGTGGCAGAAGAGTAGCAGGCACCTAAATGTCGGAATTTATAAGCTTCCAATGCCACCCGGATCTAGGGAGGTTGGGTAGGGTGGGGTGGGAGGTGGCTGAGAGTGGACTTTACAGGCGGGACGCCTAGGTGGCTGGTGGGGTGAGAGACGAGGCCTAATAAGCATTTATTGGGCTGAAACTTTTGTCTGAGTCTACAAAGAGGAATTCCCTGCCAGGGGCAGTTTCTCAAGGGGGAGGAGGCGGGAGGGCAAGAGTTGAAAATTGGAGGAAATCAAAACACAGAGCCTGGATTCTGGAGCCTGGAATCTGGAATCTGGGGTCTGGAGTGAGTGTAGAAACTGGACTCTAGAGCCAAGCCTCTTGTGCCCGGAGTAGGATTCTGGATCTTGAATTCTGGACTTGAATCTGGAGTGGAGCCTCAGTTCTGAATTCTAGGCCCTCAATTCTGGATTCTGGATCTTCAGTCTCTGTGTTTTGAATCTCACTCTCTGGCTCTGGATTCTGGGTCCAGATCTCTTGGGTTCTGGACCTTTGGTTCTGGATCGCCAGTTCTGAATTCTAGATTTGGGGGGTCTAGAGTTGGGCATTCATGACCTGAAGTCTAGAGTGTGGATTTTGGAGTAGTCTGTGTTCTAGAGTGTGGGTCTGGAAACTGGATCCTGGAGTCTGGCCTTTGAGTGGCAGGTCTCAGGCTTGGATTCTAGATCCTGGGCCTTTGAATCTAGAGTTCAAACTAGACGTCTGGAGTCTGGTATTTGCAATCTAGAACTTGAGTTAAGAAACCTTCACACCTGCTGTGTGAAGCCTGGGGCTGGAGGACGAACGGTAGATTTTGGATTTTAAGTTTTGAAGCCTGGACCTTAGGGTCTAGGTGTATGTAGACTCTGAGGTTTCATGGGTTGACTTTGGAATGTGAAGTCTGGAGCTGCAAATCTGCATGGTGTATTTAAGAAGCTGGACTGGGACACATGAGCCTGGCTTCTATGATTCTTAGTTTCCTAGAATCTTGACTGTAGAGTATGAATTTAGAGACTGGAAGACAGGAGTCTTTATTCTGGATTCCGCAGTCTTGATTCTGGGTTCTGAGGCTTGAAATCTGGATTCTGCTGTCTGGAGGCTGAAGGTCATCACTAAGGTGACCCAAGGCTTTGGGAATTTGAAGTTGTGTTACAGGGCCTCAGAACTCTAGAGGGCCCTGAGCAATTGTCTAGAGTCTACCTTGGCTTGTTTAACTAATGAGGAGGAACAGAAAGCAGGAGGGACTGACCTCCGGTCACCCAGTCAGTGAAGGATGAGACCTATTGTAAACATGGCCCCTCTCCATGTCTGGAAAGCCATCGCCTATATGGGAAGGGGCTGCAAGATGGGGGCTGACTGTTCAGGGGATCAATGGCCAATATCCAGGGGTCCCTGGCTCTTGATTTTCCCACAGGAAATATGGGAGAATGATGGCATCTATATCCCCATGTGCAGCGGAGGCTCACAACCAGAGTCTGCTCGTGGACTCACTGGGAGGGCGCCCTACCCCCACACGAGGTGACATCAGCGCCTCTCCTCTCACCACCTCTGGTGAGTCAGACCTGGGCCACCAGTGTCCTCCTGGGCATCTCCCCAGATGTTCTTCACCTCCACCGAGGCCTGAGGCCTGCCCTTTCCTCTGCTCCTCCTCTTTTTTTTTTTTTTAAATTATGGGGTTTTTTGTGTGTGTTTTTGTGGGTTTTTTTTAAAGATTTTTATTAGGGAATTGGGGGAGGGACACAGCGTTGGGGAATCGGGAAAGGGGAACAGACAAGTTGCTGCCCTTTTGTTCTTCAGTCTAGTTCTGGAGGACGTTACTTCACTGGCCCAAGTTGGCACCATCATTGCGCTCTTCCCAGGCGAGGCAGATCAGTCGCCGGCTTCTGGACGACTGCTCACTGCGGCTGCTGGCCGCTCACACTGGCTGCTGGCTACACACGGTAGCCCATGGCAACCCACTGCCACAGGGACTGCAGCCTACGCCGTTGCCGGCGACTCATGGCAGCCCAGCTCCAGGTTGAGCTGTTGTTCAGCATCTTAGCTGTGAAGGGCAGTGTCACTGGCCCTCATATGTGGGATCCGAACCGGGGCCCTCTGGCGTCCCAAGCCAGTTCTTAACCAACGCGCCACTCGGCCGGCCCCTCTGCTCCTCCTCTTCCCACGAGTCTTTCATCACCTCCAGTGGTTCAACCACCAACCATGAAGGTCTCCTTCATCTGACCCTGAACTTCTGCCTTGGGCAGCCACCTGCTCCTGGGAAGCCCCTCTCACTCACTGTGAAGTAACTCATTCCTCTTTCCCCAAACTCTCCTCCCTCCATATTCCCCATGTCGGGGACATCCCCACCATCCACCCCGTCTTGTGGCCAGACCCCAGGCCTCATCCCCTACAGCCCAGTGGTCTTCAACAGTAGTTCCTCCTGCTCCTTCCTCTTTATGCTCCGTTTTCTCCTTGGCCAGGCCACAGCTCAGGCATCCTGCTCTGCCTGGCCTCCCATACTCCAGTCTGTTCCCTCCATCTAACACCAGGTGGCCTCAGAGGGCTCTCTACACTCAGAGCTGACCCCCCCACACACACACACAGCCCTTCCGCGGTGACTACCCATCGCCCCAAGACAAAGTCCCTGCCCTCAGCCTGGCACTTGAGGCCCTTTGGGGGTCCCCCTGCCACAACAGCCTTTATCTGGAACCCCCTCCCCCAGGGAGGCATCCTTGGCGGGGTCTGGGGGCCCAGGATCCCAGGTATGAGGGAGGAGAGGTGAGGAACCAGGTGGGGTCTGGCCGCAGCCCTGCTTTGGCCTGGTTTCTACTCTGGTACCCAGACTACCTCTGGTGTGTGGCCCTGGAACTCCTGTCCAACATTTTGTGTGTCTGAACTGAGGCTTGAAAGAGCCAAGTCCCTCATCCCGGGGAACTGAGGAAGCCGGGAGCTCTGGGCAGTGCTGAGCAAAAGCAGGACAGGGTCTGACTGTTCACCGGCTCCCTCTGGCATCTGTGTAGTGCAGACTACAGAGGTGAGGAGAGGCAGAGGGCTCGGAGGGGGAGCGAATATGGGGCTGACCAGGGTCATGGGAGGGAGGTGGGGAGAAGGGGTCCATTTCCAATTCTTCTAATGCAAGCCCCCAGGATTTGCTGACTGAGTGCAGGTGGGAGTGAGAGGCAGCAAGGAGTCAAGGATGAGCCTGAGTTTTGACTTGAGTGACACCTGAGCAACTCCAAGGAGACATCTGTATCCCCCCACTCCCCACACCAGGTGCACTCCCTACTCCATGCTCACCAAGTCCATTTGAGCCCAGAGCTTTCCACTGACCTGCTCATCTTCCATCCCAGGGTTCTCCAGTCCCTCAGTCACTTGGCTATCCTTTACTCTCCCTCATCAACCCTCCCCAAACCTGGTCCCTCCTCCCCCGGCTCATTGATGTCCCCTCTATCCCCCGGCCCCAACCCCAGGTCAGGTCTTGCTCCCGCAGGACCCTCACCCTAGCCTTCTTCACAGCTACCGGCCTCAGTCTCCCTGTTCAGTCCATCCCCACCTACCCCAGAAGGTCATTCTTATCTCAGAACTGGCCTTGCCCTTGCATGCTCCCCCCCTTCCATGGCACCCCAAGACCCTGAGGAGGGGTGTCCCAGTCAGAGAAAACTTCTTGGGAGAAGTGACACTCGATATGAGCACTGAGGATGGGAGGGTCCTGTACATGGACTCCCGTCCTCTTTCCTGCTGATCTGTCTGCAAGGACTGTCCTCCTGAGCCCTGCCCCCCTGCACAGAGACTGGATTCTGACACCCCACTCCCATTGGCCAGGACTTGAACCACTGTCCCTTTTGTTGGAATCCCACCACATTCTTCTGGGAGCGAAACCTGAGATAACTGTGTCTTTCCTTATAGCTGGGGAGTCACTGTGTGTGATCGGTGAGCCCAGATATTAGAGCCGAGGCTTTGCAGGTGGAACCCAGGGCATCACTGATCTCACGCTTTCTCTCTACCCCATGCTAGAGGGTAACAGAGGGGGCCCTCTGGTCTGTCATGGCGTGCTTCAAGGAATCAGTGCATCTAACTCATTCCCGTGGGCCAAACCCAATAGCCCTGCTATGAACACCAAAGTGTTGTCGAGCTGGAAATAGCTTGAGCACACTATAGGGCACAGCACTTAAATGCCCCCACCCCATCTCTTCCCTCAGTCAAATTGAATACGCATCAAGTTCTTGCATCTTCCAGTCTTTCTAGACGCAGGCCACCTGGAAGTACAGGACACACCCAAGAGATGAAATTACAGCTTTCCCAGTCCTCCCAACTTTATGTCCTGAGCTTGAGTCAGAGGTGGGGAGGGAAGGGAAGGCACACAGAGAGACAGGTTTAGGCCAGGGTTTCTCAAACTGGGGAAATTTTGCCCACCTCCCCTCACCCCCAGGGCACATAAGCAATATCTTAAAGGCATCTTCTCACACAGGTTCTGCAGGGACACACAGACAGAGGTGAATGACCCTGTTATTTGTAGGAGGGATGGGTGTCCAACCTGGGAACATGGACAGTGACATGTGGTAGATGCTGTCCATGGAGCACTGAGCAGAAGCTGGAGGCACAACGCTGCAGTGCACACCAAGGATGGACCTTCAAACCTACACACCTTCAAACCTAGCTGTATCAGTCTGGGATCTCCAGAACAACAGAACCAATAGGATGTGTGTGTGCGTGCGTGCGTGCGTGCGTGCGTGCGTGCGTGCGTGCGTGCGTGTGAGAGAGAGAGAGAGAGAGAGAGAGAGAGAGAGAGAGAGAGAGATGGAGATTTATTTTAAGGAATAAGGAATTGGCTTATACAAATGTGGAGACTTGGTAAATCCACAATATCATGGCAGACCTTCAGGTTGAAAATTCAGGTGAGAGTTGATGCTGCAGCCCTGAGTCCGAAATCTCAGGGAAGCCCAACTAACTGGAAATTCAGACAAGATTCTATGTTGCAGTCTTTTTTTTTCAAGA